CCTGTTGTGTGTCACTGGGGATCTCTGCAGGGTCCTAGTGCCCTGTTATGTTACTGGGTTCTGTACAGGGACATAGAGCCCTGCGTTTTGTTACTGGTGGGAGGGGGTGGCCATCTCTACAGGGTCCTAGTGCCCTAATGTATGTTATTGGGGGGTATCTACAGGGACCTAATGCCCTGTTGTGTGTCACTGGGGATCTCTACAGGGTCCTAGTGCCCTCGTTGTATTTTACTGGGGGCCTGTACAAGGTCATGGTGCCCTGTTGTGTATTACTGTGTTTTCCACAGGGTCCTAGTGCCCTCGTTGTTGCAAGGATGCCCCGGTTTCATAACGGTTGTATTGAGTAGCTGGTATGAGTCCTTGTTTCCATGAGGAACTTCAGTTGGAGTAAGTCACCCTCCTGCTCGCTCTCCCCGCGGCCCAGCAAGCAGAGTGGGATGGGTTGGAGGAGCTGCCAAGGTGATCTCCAGCTGTTGACCCCAATGAAATGGACTAGGAGGAGTCCGATTGTGATATCCCCTGCAGCTGAATAGCCCACTGACATTATCAGTTTGTTGCTGGAGGTTGACTATTTGAAGTAGCCCTGAAACAGCTTGGACCACTGAGGCCAGAAAAAAAAAACAAATGAGGAAACAGCTTGTCAAATCTTTTAAAAGCAAAATACAGCCAATTTTTGGAAATGTCAAATAAAAACATAAATTGCTGGAGGAACTCGGCATCTGTGGAGTGAGAAGTTCTGATCTTCTGCTCCAAAGAAAAGTCCGATTGGAATGGAAATGGTAATTCTGTTTCTCTCTCAGCGGATGTTGCCAGACCTGCTGAGTTTCTCCAGCACTCCGTGTTTTATTCTCCCTTCGACTGAATCTGTTTTCACCGTCCCTTCAGACAGCATATTCCAAATCCCAATGACTCTCTGTGACAAAAGGTAAAATCTTCTCAGGAGATCCGGTGGGCAGGTTGTCGTGAGAGTTAGGAATGGAGAGATGGAAGATCTGTTTTCCACTGGGGACGGCCTTTACTGTTTTCACCCTCCTACATGCCCTCCCTCTTGCTCCACTTCATACCCCACGCCGCTCTCGCTCATTAACTCATTCTCCCATTTCTTTCCAAACAGCTGAAGGGAACGGTGCGGCCAGCTCCCGATTTCAAACCAGAAGTGGACGCCAAGGCACTCCGCAAAGCCATGAAGGGATTCGGTCAGTGATGATTCACAGAATGTTCCGGAACAGAGTCAGGCAATTTGACCCGTTGGGGCAGAACTGGCATGAATCCCCCAGCCTGCTCTGATTTGACAAGATCATGTTGGTGCTGGACTGGGGTGGGCAAGGTCAGGAATCACACAGCACCAGGTTCTAGACCAACAGGTTTATTTGAAAACACAAGCTTTCAGAGCCCAGCTCCTTCTTCGTCAGGTGAAGTGACAAAGGAGCAGCGCTTTGAAAGCTTGTGTTTTCCAATAAACCTTTTGGACTCTAACCTGGTGTCATGTGATTCCTGACCTCGACATTTGCAGTAATACAGGGGCAAGGTTACTAGACTAGTCACCCTGAGGGCACACAGTCAAATCCCCCCTTTTGGGACTTTGAATTCCGTCTGGGAATGTATCCGGAAAATTGAAACCAGAATCAAAGAATTGTTATGGTGTAGAAGGTGCCATTTGACCCATCATGCTTGTGCCAGTTCCATTCCCCAGTTCCTATCTCTTACCTCTTCCCCCATATCCCTGCATGCCATTTCTATCCAAAAAACCATCCAGTGTCCCTCTCAAATACCTCAATTCAGCCTGCCTCTCCCACATTTCCAGGCAGTGTATTCCGCATCTTAATTACTTGCTGGGTGATAAAAGTCTTTCGTTTGTCATCTCATCCTTCCTTTATTTGCACATCCTTTTAGAAGTGGCCATAAAACCATAATAAAAGTACAGCATTAGGTTGTTTTAAGAAAAACACTGATTAGTTCGGCTGTGTCCGTTTTGGAGATGAAACCAGCCCATTTTGTCGGGAGATTGGATAAGGAAGGTCTGATCCCATTGAAATGGGCAAAGTCTTACAGATTTGATGATGAGAAGCTGATTTCTCCTGGCCAAAGGCATCCAGTTTATCTTGGAAAGATCTAGAGGGAGGGACATGTGACCAGGATAAGGGGGTCGGCCATTTTGGGACTGAGATGAAAAGAAATGTCCCCACTCATGGGATTTGTTTCTGATTTCCCAACCCCTGTGTACGCTCAGTAGTTGAGTATAACAAGGCAAGGGTCAGTAGCAATTGTAGGGATTTAGGATAGGGTGAGAAAGTGGAGTTACAATAGGAGAAAGCACTGACTTTGTTGAATGGTGGGATAGTTTCAGAGGGCTAAATGGCCGCATCCTGCTCCTATTTCCCACCTGACCTAGTCTGGCTGATATGTTACTCCAGCCCCACATTGAGGCAGTTGACTGTCTACTGCTTGCTCTGGTGGCCCAGTAAGCCATTTCATTTGTGTCTAAACATGACTCAGGATGATGAGGCAGGGCTGATAAATACTAGTGATGGCCACATAAATCAGTGAATTTAAAATCCCTTGTGATCCTGCTGCACACTGTTGAATGTTCCTTTGCCAGCCTGAAGTTTGATCCCTTCCTAAAGGAATGAACAGACAATAGCCTTGGGACATGGTCATCCCAGAGGTTGGGAGAGAGATCTTGCCGGTGATACCCCTATCCCATGAACGGACAATGAAGATGAACTCGCAGGAAGCAATCCACCACCTGTCTCTTCAACCCCGTTCTCTCCTTGTCCCCAAAATAGTTCCCTAAACTCTGCAGTGACGTTTGCCTGAGTCCGTGGACCTTAGCTGGGATCTGCTTGGATGATAACATTAGCCTGCCAAAGTCCAGTTACAGATAGTGAGAAATCAGACATTTGAAACCCAGTCCAGTTACTTTGTGGATCTAAATGTTACCTCGGGGCTAAATTGACCTGGAAACCATAGCTAGAGGGTGTTCGTTTATATAGCACCCGGTCACATCCTTGTAAAGAGTAGGCTGCTCAACTCTTTGAGCCTACCTTGCCATTCGACGAGATCATGGTTGATCTCTCACTTTCCCCCCCTTTTTCTCTCCCCTCAATCTCAGAGATTTCCAAATTCCTGCCAACAGCAGAGGCAAATAGAGAGAGTCTGCTTTAGTGATGCTGATTATGGGATAAATATTGGCTACAGGGGGATCTCCCCTTAATCGAAACAGAGACCATCAGAGCTCCTTGATCCACCTGAGAGGGCACTTGGGGTCTTGATTCAGCGTCTCACCAGAGAAACAGACAATGTGTCACACCCCTTCGGTAGTGTTATGGCTGCAGTTCATTTCTATGCAGTGGGACTTAGAATCATGGAGACTGTGGATTTGAGGTGAGAGCTACTGAAATGTAGTGGCAGCATGTTGCAAGGGTCCAAGTTCCCGAAGCAATCTGAACTTTGTATACATGGGTATCATAACCAAAGGCTACAAATAGTGATGGTCGAAGCTTCAATTTCATTCCATCATGTGACTGACCAGGAGTCTCTCCCATTCCGACCACTTACCTATGGAAGGATTTGATATTTAACCTGTTTGGCTGCATTGCAAGCACAACTTCCTGGAAGGTTAAGCCCTGAGGTGGGATTGGAACCCAGAACTTCAGGCTCAGAGACAGGGACACGACCCACAGCACTGTGAAACCTCCTTTGTCGAACTGTTGTTGACCCTAAACAGTGTTGGTTTGAGCCACAGCTGAGATTATTAAATGAAGAGATTTAGCAGCGGTGACAGTGCAATTTAACTGTCTCTCCAGTTCCTGTGTTTGGGGAAAAAATGGTCTATTAATGGATCTCTTGGCTGGGATTGTGGAAAGATGTCTAAATGTGTTCCATCTGGTTTTTCGCTTCAGGCACTGATGAAGAAACAATCGTCAATATACTTACTCAGAGAAGCAATGCGCAGAGGCAACAGCTGAGACAGCAGTTCAAATCCCAGCTGGGCAGGGTAAGTTACCTTCCCTACACTGGGGATTGCCCTCCTCACTGAATTATACAATACACAAGGAGGCCATTCAGCCTGTACTGCCCAGGCTGACCCTTAGCTGGACCTATCCAGTTAATCCCATTCTCCTGTCTTGTCCTCAAAGCCCTGTCAGTGTTTTCCCCCCCACCCCACCCACAACCTTTCTGCTGTTCATCCAATTCTGTTTTGGAATTTACCACCGAATCTGCATATTCCACCCTGTCAGACAGCGCTTTCCAAATCCCAGCCAAATGTTCTGTCAAACAAAAAAAAGAAGCTTCTCACGTTTGTCATGGTTCAGTTGTTCTGTGTTTGATTGTGTGCGACTGGTCTATGCTAATTGTGTTTGATGGGTTAAGCCTGGATGTTGATTCAGAGCAAAGTAAACAAAGCTGAGCCTGGAAGACAAATGTAGCAGTTATGAAGTTGTGTGTGTAAGTTTCAGCACTTCCAGAAACTAATGTTACCTTGGGTAAAGGTGGCAGATTTCCTTCCCCGAGGGGCATCAGTGAACCAGTTGGGGTTTTTAACAGCAATCCTATGACAATCACGATGTCCCAATCTTGGAATTCCCTCCCTGTGGGCACTTTGGATGCCCCAACATCGCATGGACTGCAACGGTTCAAGAAGGCAGCTCTCTTCCATCTTCTCAAGGGGCAGCTTGTCTTTGCTCAATAAAGCTGTCCCGACCAGCGACACCCACTTCCCGTCAATGAGTGAGAGCAAGAAAAAATCACTGTGGTTAAGCGTTTGCCAATAAGTTAGCTATTTACTACAATTGCATGTCTTCAGCTGCAGCTTGGGATCAGTGAGGTTGGTTAGCTCAGTTGGTTGGATGGCTGATTTGTCATGCCTAGTGATGTTAACAGCATGGGTTCAATTCCTGCTCTAGCTGAGGTGACCATGAAGGATTCCCCTAAGGGTTCCATGCCTTAGGTAAACCACCAGCAATTATTGCTCTCTAAAGGGAGAGAAGGCCTGGGGTTGGGATTTGAACCCAAGAGGCTCTAGCTCAGTAACATTATCAGTATTCCCTTATCTCTGCAGGATTTGTAGTTTTTTTATTCCCGTCATCCTCACGACGGCTTCCCTTAGTCCATTATCATTCAGCACCTGATCTGTTTTACAGCAATTTGCTGGATTCTACAAGACCCCACTGACTATGAGACAAGAAGATGCTGAACTGGAATTTTTAAACAGAATTATTAAATAATTAAATAATAACAGATAATTAAAGCACATCTTGTCCACCATGCCTTTGAAAGAGTTATCCAATTAGCCCCACTCAGCAACAGCAAAATGCATTTGTCTAGCACCTCGGTAGGCGTGAATTGCGCCAAAGCAGTCTCCAAGAGTGTAATCAGGGAGAATCTCAGCCAGAATTATTATTATAACAGGTGAGTGGAAACCTCCTGCCCCACCAACTCTTTTTCCCACTAGCACCCCCTCACACAAAAATGAATGATGCAATTCAATCTGCTTCCACCCACCCTTTCAGGCAGCACGTTCCAGATGTTAATCAGAATTTGTAGGGACCTGCAGTACCTCCAAGAACCTTCAGGAGGCAGTGTGAGATAGTGTCACCTACAGACTCACTGTGGCACTGCAGCCTCTGAATCGATTCTTTGGAGAAAGTTCCAAAATAAAATTATCAAAAAGTTACAGCATGAAGATGTAATTGCATCAAAACTGCCAGTTGTCATCTAACCAGTGCATTCTCCATGGCAGCAGAGTCAGAGACCACTTGCCAACCAATCACACTTTCCTGATAACAGTATGAAATGTTGCTCCCCTTTACATTGGTATTTCTTGGAATTGTTCTGATGAGGATTAAGAGAAAAACGTTGACAAAATGTCTATTTTCAACAATACCCAAGCCCTGTACCATCCAGCGACAAATTTATAGACATTATTGTGGAAAACCCATGGTCTATGTAAAGACCCAGAGTAATACTGTTAGAGTTAACCTGAGATTAATCAATGCTATAAAAAGATAGTCATTGAAGCAGTCATGCTTTCAAGAGGGATTTAAAGATATTTACAGAGAGCAAAGCAAATGGTTTGAAGTTGGGCAGGTGAGGGACACGGGGCGGAAGGTGTGGGTGAGGGACACGGGGCGGAAGGTGGTGGTGAGGGACACAGGGTGGAAGGTGGGGGTGAGGGACACGGGGCGGAAGGTGGTGGTGAGGGACACGGGGCGGAAGGTGGTGGTGAGGGACACGGGGCGGAAGGTGGTGGTGAGGGACACGGGGCGGAAGGTGGTGGTGAGGGACACGGGGCGGAA